CCCCGCCTAGCCCACAACACAACGTGCCGCAACGCGCTGCCCGCCGCCTTCACACTCCTTGTGTTTCTGGACACGCCGGGCCTCTGCTCCAGCAGCGGCACCCGCCTGGTGCGCCGCCTCCGGGTGCGCCGTCCTGGAGCGCCGCCCTAGTGCTCCGCCCTGGAGGGCCACCCTGGTGCGCCACCCTGTAGGGCCGCCCTGGAGAGCCGCCCTGGAGGGCCGCCCTAGAGTTCCGCCCTGGAGCGCCGTCCTGGAGGGCCGCCCTGGTGCACCGCCACCAGAAAGGCCTGGGCCGCTGGCTGCTCTTATTTCACGGCAGGACGCGCTTCTCGGCTGGCCTGGCCGGCGGGGCCGGGCCTTTGAAAGCAAAGCAAGCTGGCTGCACTCGTAGGTCCCTCACTGACAGGCCTCGTAATCAAGTTATGCCCCCCCCCCCTTCCCTCTCTCTCTCTCTCTCTCTCTCTCCTGCCGCCCGCGCTCCACCGGACGCAGCTCGACAGAGAGAAGGAAACTGTTAATTTGCTCTAACTCGTTTACCTGCCGGAGCACGGCCGCTGGAGCGCGCTCGAGTCAGCAGCTGCTCATCGCGCAGAGGAGCAAAATAAACGGTCTCCAGGCGTCCCGCCGCCGCGGCGCTTCAGTCTCCCCAGCCGCTCCAGCCTCTCTAGCCGCTCCAGCCTCTCTAGCCGCTCCAGCCTCTCTAGCAGCTCCAGCCTCTCTAGACGCTCCAGTCTCTCTAGCCTAGCCGCTCCAGCCTCTCTATCCGCTCCAGCCTCTCTATCCGCTCCAGCCTCTCTAGCCGTTTCAACCTCTCAATCCCCTCCAGCCTCTCTAGCCGTTCCAGCCTCTCTAGCCGCTTTAGCCTCCCCAGAAGCTCCAGTCTCTCTAGCCGCTCTAGCATTTCCAGTCTATCTATCAGCTGCAACCTCTCTCCAACCTCTCCAGTATTCTCCATCCACTCCAGCCTCTGGCCGCTCTAGCCTGTCCGACGGCTCCAGCCACTTTGGTAGCAGGAAGTTCGGCTGGCGTCAGTCGGACTGCCCATCACTGAGTGTCAGTCACTATTGTCGGTGTTCTGACCTATGCGACGGACCCCGGATAAGAGTCCAGTCGCCACTGCCCAGCGGTGACGTGACGAGCGGCGGCGGCAGCTCTCCTTACCGCTACTGCAAACCCCTCGATCTGATTTGCACTGGTGTGAAGTGCTCTCCAAATAACTAGCATTACTTTACACTTATCAGGCAAGAAAGAAAAATACGATCTAAAATATTTCCAGAAAAAAATGAAAATTTCCGTAAATTTTCCTATTTTTCGGAAAATTTCCGGAAACTTTCCAGGGGCTTCCAGCCCTAGTATTGTCGGAGCGTCACTTTGGTGACGCGGACGCCAGTCTGCTGCTCTGTATGATCGCGGTCTGCCGAGGTCGCACAGGAGCGCGGGTTGCGCTTGCCCCGCCCCGCGTGCTGTCGCGTCTCGTCTGCACACACTGCTGGGACACGTTATGAAGCGCGAAGCGGGACGAGAGAGGGGTTGACAAGCACCATAACTCTACCGCCCTTTCCTCTCTCTCTCTCTCTCTCTCTCTCTCTCTCTCTCTCTCTCTCTGGCTCGTGCGCACCTCCTGTCTCTCTCACTTTGTCCTCTCTCCTTTCTCTCTCGCGTTTGCGCCAAAGAAAAGCGCAGCCGTCCGCAAACTTTCGTGGGCTCGGCGCTGCTGCGCCTCCCCGCCACCGCCACGCACGACCGGAGGAGACTGAGGAGGAGGAGGAGGAGGAGGAGGAG